GAGGAAAGGGGGAATGGGAGATAAAGAGTGAGACTTGGAGGCAGGAAGAGAGTGTACTCTACCTCACTTCATCCCAGCCAAACATGGAAAGAGCGGAAAAGACCCGGGGGGGTGGGGGGTGGGGGGTAATAATTACATTTGAATCTGTCTCAAAAGCAAATGGAAGCAGTCCTACTACTAATGCACTCGCAGAGGAGGGCAAGCAGCACATTTTCATAATCTTGAAATAAAAGAAAGAAGCGAGAGAGAAAAACATGTAGATCACAATGTCTTGCTGGAACACAGCAGCTGCCAGAGTGTAACGTTTCATTATGTCATCCAAAACAAAAAACACGTCCCACATCCTGTCCCACATCTGGCAGACTCTCACATCTCACAACTTTCTGGCCTCAGATTAAAAGTGTAATGAGTGAGACTGAAAGGGCATCGCTGCGGATCCCGTGTGCTGTCATAATATCGAGCACAACAATGTCTCATTGTGTCAGACTGTTTTTACTGCTTTGTTACGAGGCTTCCTGCTCCAACTTCTGTCCTTCTACCAGATGTGAAAGTTTGCTTCATAACAAATACCGGAAGGGTGTGTTGGTATGTGTGTGTGAAATATTGCAAGTGTATTTGCGTGTCCACACTTCATTTTAACCCTGTTATAACCAACCTCATGTGCAGCGGGTCTGAGTTTTCTACATGTAATGAATGCGACATACTCTTAAAGTGTTTTCTCTCTCTCTACATTAGAGCTTTTTCTTTCTCGGTCAGTGATCTTCCTGACACACACATCACTTCCTTCTCAAATTCTTGCAGTGTGATGAGTGAGAGATGAGGCCACATGACATATTCCGCAAAAGAGCAAACATGATACATCATCTTTTGCAGTAACAAGTTGGAGTTTGTTTCTCACAGTTAACACCCTAGACATTCCTGCCAACAGTCTGTTCATATCAGGGCATGCCACTGTCAGGATGAATTGTCTGCTTTTCTGCATTGCTGAAGTCAGGACTCTCACTTCCTGTTGTTACACAGTGTTTCATCTCGGGTGAACATATTCCAAGTAATAGCATTGCAGTAATCTGAATTCTTCGCCTTTGCAAGAAGACAGCATTTACCAGGCGGCAGATGTATGAGGAAACGATCGTTTAGGGGAGTGGTATAAATCTTCTCATCTAAATCCCTGCAAGAAAGTGAATGTGCATATATCCCAAAATGTTGACTATTCCTTTAAAGTCAAGCTTCTTTTGACTTGTAAATGTAAATGTAAATGCTCCATACTTGTATAGCGCCTTTCTAGTCTTTTCGACCACTCAAAGCGCTTTTACACTACATCTGCATTCACCAGTCACACACATTCATACACTGAGCCTAAGTGCTCAAACGGAAAATAACATTCACACACATTCATACACTGGCGGAACAGCCGCCAGGGGCAAATCGGGGTTCAGTGTCTTGCTCAAGGACACTTCGACACACAACCAGGGGGAGCCAGGCATTGAACCGTCAACCCGCTCAACCTCCTGAGCCACAGCCCCGCCCCATTTGTGCTTGTTTCTGGGCGATTAGAGAAATCCTAAACAACAAAAAAGTCACCAAAATAAAACAACACACCGTGAAGATCCAAATAATTACATTTTTAGTTTCAGCTAGCAATTCCCAGTGCAAATATATTTCAATTGCCCGGAGGCATCAAAAGCCCACCCTGCGTGTAGAAACATGGACGTAAGTCTGTGTAGGTGCAGGAAAACATTCACCCAAAAACAGCCACTGGTCAGGCTCAGACAGCAAGTGATGCGGGATCCTTTAATTTTCACAAATTCAGGCTGTCAACAGATGTCTGTGGTTTTCAGAACAGGGCCCGCACTGTACATCTGAAGACTGACTTGTTCTTTGCAGTGTTTAGCTTCTTCATTTCCTCCTATCAGTCTACAGCTCACTGAGCTATACAGTCATTCTGAACTAGTTTCATGTTGTGTGTGAATGCGAGGGGTTTCACATTCACCCAGTCAGCCTCTTCATTACCACCCCAGGACTTTTCAACAGCGTTAGCTCTGGCTAGTTCCTGTTTATGTATTGCACCCTAAAATGGCTTGCATCCCCGAGCAGACCACAAAACCCACAATTTCCTGTAGTCATAATACACAATTCACGATGCACATTCAGATAAAAAAAAAAAAAGCGTTAAGAGATTACACACTGCAAACTGACAGAGTATGAAAATGCAGCTTTAGAAAAGAATGCGCTTTTTTGATTGCAGGTGCAGGATGTTCTCCTTCGGTTACTTTTCGATTCCCTTTCTGAAAGTGACACGCCTAACACCTGTAGCAGAGAAGTAGGCCAGTCAACTACAACCTTAAATAATCACAGCCAGGCAATCATGATCATTGCTAATTCACTACCTTTAACAATCACTACACTAGATAAGATAAACCAGCTGGTGAGTTTCGATCCACCCTGCTACCAGGCTCATCCACTACTGTGTTTCGCCGCGACTTATTTAATTCCAGCCACAGCTTGATTTATTCTTCAGGTCCCACAGTTTCCCTCGCCAGCTACCTTCCACCTCCTATGTCTCCCACTCATGTGCTGCAGCCTCTCTCTCTCTCTCTCCTGCCGTGCCTTTAAAGGTGAGGAGAGCAGACTGCATTGACAAGCTGAGATTTTACAAGGGTCTGTGCCCTTTCGTGGGAGCTGAAAAGGTGACGGAGGAACAGATAGAAACCAGAAGGGACACAGAAAGAGTAGAGAGGACTATTTTTTCTGAACTGAACCAATTTGTTTTTTAAATTGGTTTGTAAAGTTTTTAGCATAATTAGAATTACATCAGTGATCCTGTTTGCATTATGATATGTCACATCCACACAGAATTAGATCCTTTATTGTCATAGTTGGTGGGAGTCAAACCAAATCTGACTGCAGCTCTGCATGTGATGTGTGTCTTTAAATTTTCTAGGGTGTTTAAAGCTGTTATTTTTAACACTCCCAACAAATAGTTCAGAAGAAAACTTGCAGTATGTGGGTGGCCTGGGTGCAGTTACTGTATCTGAATACCACTGTTGTCACCTTTTCATGATCCAAATGATGATGTAATCGCTCCAGTTTTGAACAGGTAATAAAGAGCATAGTCCATGGGCTGGGGGGGAATGGATAGGACTAGCTAATGAATCGTGATATGGGGAAAGCAGTGGACAGAGGCAGAATGTGCATTGGACCGTACACCTTAATGATAGCTAACATCCAGTGCACGTGTCTGGCTGAGCTGCTGCCCCTGTCTGCTTTCCTGATAAGTGCAACACTGTTGCAGGTTGAGGAAGTGGAGGCGGCTGGAAGTGATGCTAAATATCAAGGGTGGCCGCCCAAGAGGCCTGAAGTAATTGCACTGCGGCAACGGAGGGGAGAAAGGAGAAATGGAGATGCAGGCTTTTTCAGAAATCTCTTCTTCTGGATTTAGTCTCTTTGCTGGAGGTGCTTCGTTTGTTGGGTAGGCTACATGAGATCACAGAGCCCATTGGTTACTTTGGGGTAACTGATAATCAAATAAGCCACAGTCTGGTAAAACAGACTTTGGACTAATGTTGTGTTGACTAATACTGTTTTATTCATTTGCGCTTTGGTGACAGATTTGTCTGAGCTGGCACTGCACATGTGATGGCCAATGTTGATGGCCCCCTCTTTTGCATTCTCTGAATGAGATGCTGATCTGGAAGCATGTACACAAAGCAAGCCTGTCCACTATTCAAAACAGGAACAGTTAATCAGCAACTCACACCAAATCAGCCACACTGTAAAACACTGAAGTGGATTTCCTGCCTCCCACAAAGATGTAATGATTTGCAAAAGAACTGCTGAAAAGACTTTCAAATGTCCAGAGAGGCAGCCAGCCACAGCTTAAAAGTCAAATCCCACTGCGCTGACACCAAAACACGGGCAGAGGTGAAGTTGGCGAAGACGCCGCAGAGCTACTAATCAGCAAACCCGACACTCAAAGATGCCTCCTAATCCATGCTGCTCTGAGGGCGGCTGGAGAAAATCACCTTGAATCACCGCAGTCAGACAGCTGCAGCCTGTATAGGAGAAGGTAATGAGGGGTCTGATTGAACGGAAATAAAGAGAGCATGGTAAGTCTGACCTCTCGCTTGTTTAATTCAGCAGCCAAGGCTGACTCACAATGAGCGGGGATGGGGCACTGAGTGTTATTCTCCAGTCATGGAGGATTATCATCACCACACAGGTGTTCATTGGTTATTAGCACAGCTGCCAGAGGTCTTGAATATCAGTGTCAGGGCAATTTAATGGATACCTCAGCAAGCCATATCAGCCATGAAAGATGTAGGGTTGAAGGCAGGTTCAAACTGAGCTTCAAACTGAGCTTCTGGATCTACCCATACCACCCCCCACCCTCCTCTTCCCACATGGGTCAAGCCATAACTTTGCATGTCAGCAGACTTTTGTTTACCATCATCCTCATGACAGTCAAATCAGGATAGACCCTGCCACTCCCTTTGTCTAATTTTAGGAACAGGCTTCCTCCATCCTTCTCTACGCTGCTCAGCAATGCTCCTTTTCCTGAAAATGACTGCGCACTGGCCCATTAATTTCATTAGTTCACCTAATAGATGGCAGCTGTAGAATGCAGTCATGTCTGAGCACAGCACCTGAGTACTTTTTTTTCCAACACAAAGTAGGCTACAAAGGCATCCGTGACTCCCTAATGAGTCAACATGGCATTGCTGTGGTTGATGGTGCAAGAAGACAAGTCCACACGTTATCTCATCTACTGTTGCAATACATTAGTACACATTACCACTGATGTAGGCAACATCAGCGAAACAAGGAGTGAAATGTTAACAGAACAAGCACATAAAATTTCACTGTGGCGGGTTTCTTCTAAATATTTAAGTGCCTGGCCAGAAGGGAAAGAATGACATCTACAACTCGCCATGCGTAAAAACACATTTTAAAAAAACTCAAAATGAGCTCAAGTTGCTTCAGCAAGTTGACACATTTCTTACCTTTAGAGTTTGAAGGGTCCCATGCTCTCACTTACAGTGGTGAGTTGTGGAATGAGCACTGAGATGAATCGCGTTACATTACCAGCACCAGCAATTCAAAACGCCTTTTCAGCAACGGAGTGGACGCACCAGGTCATGCAGAGAGACGCGCCGATGATCGAACTCCACCAGAACTCATTAGAAGAGAAAACACCCGGGTCCTTGTTCGGCGTTGATGCTGGCGGTCCTATGCGGATGTTTTGGTGTTTTATTTACGGCACATTAACCCCACAATGCGCACAAATGCAGTCCATGCGCACTCTGAGTCAAGTTGTGGAAGTGTGTTGGTGTATCAGAAGCAACTGACCTCAGTCATCTGGTCGCAGCTGGACCGCGTGCCAGCCCTCTGCTCATGTTCCAGCTGTGCAGCTCACGATCACACTGCAGAGCCACAGTCCCGCCTGTTGGTAGTATCACAGCAGCACCACAGTCTGTCCACATGCTTGTTGTGCAGCCTACGAGCTGCTGCGCACCATTACACGCAGTAACAAGCTATCACTTCGTCGGCTGCTCTGCGATATCACTGCGTCTTGTGAATCTAAATAATTTCTTAAAAGTCTCAGGCATGCCTACAAATAGTTTTGTGATGTCTTCAATTAGCCTACACCTTCAAAAACATTACATAACTGGTGTCAGACAGCTGCAGTAATAAAATGGGGAATTTATTTATAAATGAATGTATTATCACACTGCATGACAAAAATGCTACATTGCTGTTTTGGGGGTTAGGTTGATCTAAAAGGTTTCATATTGCAGAGCCTACATATTTGTTTCATTGCCAACACAGCAGGAGACCTGTTGCTACAAGCGAGGGTTTCTGCCCCCTACACAGCGTCACACGTTGCATTCACGTCATGTGGGATGAAGTAAAATCCTCAACTGAGAATCCAGTGTGTATAAAACGGTTCATTTGATAAAAAGTGAAACACAGGTTTGTTTTTGTTGTAATAATATTTTACAACACGTGCTGCCTTGCTGATATGTGGAAAGTAACTGACATCTCATCACTAAAAGGTTTTCAGTATAATAGCTTATTCCCTTTTTGAAAGCTGAAGTGAAATTTTAGAGGGGGCTTTTGGGGCCTCCAGCCCCAAGTGCGTTCTCCAAAAGCACCAAATGTTTTGGGGTTTTAAAATAACTTTCTTTCATGTCCACTAAGTCTCTCTGACTGCACCAGCAAATCACTAGAGCCAACGTTCAATAGATGTCACCATAGGTCTGCCCTTACATTGTCACAGCGGAGCTGTTGTCTTCCTGTGTGACTGTTTCACTGTTGTCACCTCTTGCGGCAAGCTCGCGCTAGCAAGATAACCAACTCATGGCCTGTGGAAATAAGACAGTTTTTCACGAGTAGTACCGTTAAACCTCAGCCGCCTTCTACAGAAAGTGGTTCAGCAGCAGCAGCCAGTCAACCACTGACTGAGAGGTGTTGTTTCAGGTGTGTGAATCCACAGCTCTAACACTTAGCTGGCGGTGAGGTGTGTTATGTGTTGCTGGCTGGCTACCTTAGGTTAGCTGCGGTTAGCTTGCTATGTCGAATGGACAATGTCACGTAACTGTTATCAGAAGCTTTGAAAAAGTTTCACACCTGGGTGGTCAGCACATTGAGAGAAGAGTAGAAGAAATATGGCCATGTACACAGGCCTAATCATTAGTATGAGAATTTCCTTTAGATACGAAGAAATCAAAGTTATATAAGGTTACAGTAGGCTAAATGGTATATTTGAATGTTGGCTACAACACTGTTAAGTGTCTTTGTAAAAGAAAGAGCTTGTAGAATTCTAGAAATATTATTCCCCATGTCAAATAAATAAACACTGTGTCCGTCACCGTATTTTAGAGTGGCTGCTAACGGAAACGTCCCCTGCTCAATTTATAACACAACCTATATTGATAATATTATTTTTAATAATATTGTTTAATTTAATTTGATTTAATAATAAGCCTTGTGCCCCTTCACTGTGATATAATAAGAGTATACCACAGGAAGTCTTGAGTTATTAAACGGTGACCAAGCATGGCATAAAAGAAAGTGATAGACTCACTACAATTTGATTTGGTTTTATTTCATTAATAGACATGTTTTAATGAATACAAAAACTAGTCCCACCTGGCTTCGTCGCGGAATGATGAAGAAAAGGAATTCGATGTCATAACACCGGCCCTGGGCTGTATACGCTCATTATAACACTTCTGTGAACCAATCAGATCGTTTGACTTGAGCTCCCCTTTTTCAAAGGCCCTGCCCGTTTTATAATAACCGACCAATAACCATTTTTTCGAATTGGTGTGATTAAAAGTAGGTAAGTAAATTGCCCTGTCAGCTGGTCTTCACACCTGTCTTGTCTTCTGTTCTGTTGTCATTCTTGCCGTGTTTAATGCTGGGAGAAGTCGTGCTACAAGTTCTCTAACGTTGAGATTGCGATATTCCCGACAGCATTTTAAGGCAGCACCATATAGTCCTGCCCTACCAGGAAGACTGAAGAGAATCTGAAGTAGGCTTCGCGGTAGGTGCTGTTTAATTACTACCTAAATGAAAATTGTGTTTCATTAATTTAATAATTATAGCAAAAGAGGCAGTCGTGTAAGACAAACGTTTAACTTGTGTCTCGACATAAACAACAGTGACTCCAGTTAAATGTCGGTCGATTGGCTTTTCACTGTCAAATGACAGTAAGTTAGTAGGCTACACAGTGTTTGGCATTTAACGGTTGTAAATCTGTAATGTTGTGTAATTCTATAAATTACAACACAATCATACTCCATAATATGATGTGTTTTCTCTGCCACTTCAGTTGCAAGTTGGCCTTAGACTCAAAGTAAATTGAGTTTATTCACCTATTAATAAATAACTTTTACAAATACTGGGAGGCTACATAAAAGCTATAGGCTTATGATAAATCTGAAAATCTGTTTCATATTATAAAATATTCTGATTTAATTAATTGAAAGTATAGGTCACTATAAGGTGAGTGTTAAATGTTAGGGACCCATTCTTACTCTGAAAGGACTGTAATTTTTTTTTTACATTACCTGTGACTTTGTTTCATAGGAATACTGTCTGTAAAATTAAAGACATGTGTATATATATATTGATAAAATACTATTTATTGGGGGTGTGGGACAGTGAAAGGAAAAGGAACGGATTTTCTTATTGTCATGTTATTCATTTATTTGAGATGATTTGGGTTTTTTTTTCATGTGTTGATTGAATCTTTCATGTTTTGAAATTTACAAACACACCTGATGGTGCAATCCCTTCTCAGCAGCAGTCTGGACATTCCTTTGGAGTCCCCTTCTTGAATCACTGCAATACAGCAACAGGGGTGAAGAGGCCAAGAAAGGAGGAAATCCCAGCTGCAACAACTGTTTACCAGAATGGACAGCCAGGGGGTGGGGGATTTACTGGAGGAGTGTCTCAGGGCAGTAGCAGCAACTCAAGGGTCCACCCAGCCCACTGAGGCAGAGAGGCTGAACTACTGTAGCTGCAGAGGTCAGACACAAGATGGTGCTATGCGGTTTATTTTCACCTGGGTTTGGCAGAAAGTCAGATTGGGATTAGAGATTGGGAGATTTTGTGGTGGAATGACACTTGCATAAAACCCACACATATGGTTTGTGTTGAGAATGAGGGACAAAGGCATCAAATGGTCAGCGCATCCAACATGGAGTTGCCATGAATTTGATAGGATTTCCTTTTTGTTTATCAGTAGCGCAAGTCGGGGCAGTGCTCATTAGTGTTTCTTCTAAACTCAGTAAAGGCCAGTTCTTCTGCATTCCCACATATTATATAGCAACACGTCATCAAATTAAAGCAAAAACTACATTTTCTAAACCACAGTCTCTAGCTTTTCCTGAATTAAGTTGATAATGAAGAAAGTGTTACTGAAAGTGTTAGTGTACTGTAGCTTTAAGTAAAGTTATTTCCTCTTGTAAAAGAAAGTTTAAGATTTTAATCATGTATTTACAGTTTTATTCAGAAAGTATTTAGTCTAGTTAACCTTTGCACTGCCACACACTTTCTTTGGATTTACGAGATTCCTTATATCCTGTAGACTCGCTGTGTGCAGAACTTGCCTCTCTCCTGCAAGAGGCAACGGAAATGAAGTGGCCCTTCGTGCCGGAGAAGTGGCAGTATAAGCAATCAATCAGTGCCAATGACAAAACCAACCTCAGTGACCTCATCAGCAAGCACCTATCTCAGCTACTGGTAATAATCACTCAGCTAAGTAAGGGCTTTCTTGTGGTGTTACTTGAAACAAATGATATATATGCTTACTGTGTTGTCAGGCTGTCCTAAAGGCTTCCATCACAGCTCGGGAGGCACGCACAGCCCTGGCGGTGGTCTTCTTAATCGACCGCTTCCTCTACTGGATGGACGAATCCAGCCGGCTGCTGAAGATTGCCAAGCTGCTCCACAGATGCTACCCTGACACCCCTGTGGCCCCCCAACTGGTCATACGACAGGCCAGAGTCTACCTTAACTCTGGTACATTCTTAGTTTTGTGAGGAGCCACCACTGGCAATGAATACTGTGATTGGATGAGAAACACTTAATGCATCTTCCTCCTCATTGTTTTGGGATATAATAGATTGATGTGAACACATAATATGGAAATTACATGAGAAAAGGTTTTTATTACTCTGTCATCATTACACATTTTCATTATAGAGATATGTACTGTTTTGTTACAGTAATTGTTATACACTGCTGGATGAATGTGAACATTATAATCATCATCCCTGCAGGCAAACTACAGAAGGCAGAATACATACTGAGCAGTCTCATTAACAATAGTGGAGCCACAGGTAGGTTCCTTTTATGGCATTTTAATTCACTTTATTGTTGTTTTTACAAGGTAAATAAAAAGCAAATCTTTGTTTCCTTAAACAGGTTGTTGGGCGTACCACTCTGAAAGTGACAGAGTTCTTGTGCAGGCCGTCAGTGTTCAAGTGCGTGGAATGACGTTGCAAAAGCTAGGTAAGATCTTTTTTCCCTGATGAAAGAAAATATTTCTCTTCGCTGATGTATGTTGTTGTACATAGTTTGGCTATTTTGTGCTGTGTTTCAGGTCTGTGGCTAGAGGCCGCAGAGCTGATCTGGGCTTCTCTGGTTGGCTACTATGCACTTCCTCAACCAGATAAAAAGGTAACAGACACGGCTACAATATTGTCATCAAAGTTGCCACACTATGACCTTGGAAACATGCACATCCTCACACTTTCATCATCCCTTGCTCTGCATGTCTGTATATTTGATAGGGCATTGGAACCTCTCTTGGCCTACTGGCCAACATATTGGTGTCTATGAATGATGAGGACTTCCACTCTTTTAGGACTAATCCAGATATTGATTTGGTAAGTCTAACTGATATAATGTTGTGGGTTTTTTTGTATATAGTTGGATTTGTATAATTTCTTGACTGTGTCTGTGTGATTGTTTGGTGCAGTCTTTACTTGGGGACAGGAGCCATCGTCTTCTTTCAGCAGCCCAGGCAGCTAAGATGGCGGTGGTGTACAGCCAGTACACTTCACTCTATGTGTTAACCAATGCGGTAAGTTGCTTCATTGAATGGCTCGTGGTTGCCTGCAATTGACATAAATAATAATAAACCATTTGACACTAGGCCCCCTCGCAGACACAACTGAGACAACTGCGCAGTTAGTTAAAAGTGAGCTACACTTTTTTTTAGGCTAATATGTTAGCCTAAATTTGTTTACATGTTGACTTAGCTATTAACAGTTACTGTTTGCACTGAACCCATGAATGTACAGACTCCTACACTGGGTTACTTTAATACTAAAGAAAACATGTATAAACATATAATCACAATGGAATCCATGCTGAATCTAAAAACATTTCTGTGTGTTTGACATGACATTTGACTGAGTTAGGAACTTTGGCACAAATTAAGACTCACTCTCCGTGTGCCTCCCCTTCAGTTCTCTCACGCCCCCTTGGAGGGTCTAGCCTCACAGTTTTAAAACCTCTGGCATAAATTAATGTAAAAAAATAACTCACAACAACTGTTTCACAACAGAGATAAGTTCGGTAGCTAATGAGAGAACAGGTCCAACAGAAATATATTCTGAAGCAGTATAAATATTACTTATTGCTGCTATAAATGTTCTTCTGCCTTACTCTGACCTCTTATTCTTCAGGTAACTCAAGGAACCTGCTTGTTATCGTACAGTTTCTCAGTGGAGTGCCCAAACTCTCAAAAGAAGTCTATCCTTCTGCAGGCTAGAGAGGCTTTTGAAATTGGCCTGCTCACCAAAGAAGAGGGAGAGCTGGTCACCAGCAAGCAGGAGCTTCACAGCTTCCTCAAGGCTGCCTATTCCCTCACTGCCGCGCACAAGTGGCTTGGCACTCCTCAGGATGTCGAGGAGCAGGCAACTCAAGCTTGCCAGACAGCTTTAGGAAAGTTCTATGATTACTGCCAGGCAGATACCCAGGACAAAGACGGCATCTGTGCCGAAATCATGCAACTGGTCGCCAGAGTAAAGCTTCTGTTGCAGGTGAAGCCTTTCCTTAATTCAGAAAAGGGGTCTTTTATCCCTGACAGCTACAGAAACATCAAAGACACATCGGTAAATTTCACTGTGGAACGTTTCGCTAAGGTGATGCAGAGATTCCAAAAGTATCATGAATCACTATGTGAGACAACCAGCCCAAACTGTAAGGGGACTAAGGACGAGATGGACGGGGCGAAGCTATGTATCACTGCACTGGGGACAACCATTGGTACACTCAACGCAGAATGTAGCACTGAGGCTTGCAATGTGTCAAAAGATACACCTAAAGGAGAGGAGCCACAACAGAGGGGATCAAATCCATCTGCTGTGCACCCACCTCAGAAGTCTGACCTGTGTACCACCCTAGGAAGCACAGATAACCTTGGCTCTTCATGGCAGAACTTCTCCTTGAGTAGTTCAGGGTCTCCTAGGCCCAGCAGCAGCGGCTACACGGGAAATATTGCCATTGAACTTGAAGCAAATGCAAGCAACCAGCGCTGTCTGACCACTGAGGTTGACGATGACAGGTCAGACAGGATGCTATCCGCGGGAAAAAATAAAAACAAGAAGCGAGACTTACAGGGCTGGAACTCTAGTGTCAGTTCCCATACTGTCCCGAGATCTGCAATACCTGCCACATCCTCCTCCAGTGCGAGTAGTGATTCAGAGAAGTTTGAAGTGCTGCAAGCTGAAATAGAGACACTGGCCACTGAGGACGATTGGATGACTCATGTTGTTGGTGTGCCGATGAAACTGCCAGAAGCTGAAGGAGCAGCACGTTCCTTATCCCAGCTAGCTATTAGGACATCCTCTAGCTCGCTCGGTGACAGTTTCAGTTCCCAGTCATCATGGGAGAAAATCTCAGCTAACCTGAATTCCCCCACAAACAGAAAACCTCAGCCGAGTAGCCTGTCAAAAGCAGGAACCGGCCAAGGCAGTAGGTCATCAGAGTCAGATGGGAGCTTCTTCCTCTTGGAAACACTTGATTCAGAAACCAATAATTCAGCTCATGATCATACGCACAAAAAAGACACATCTGGATGGGAATTTAGAGCCTCATCCACGCCACAACCTCTGGAGAGCCTTAATCTTTTGCCAAATATGGACACCGAAGATATCTCAGCATCTGTAAAACCTGCTGCGAAAAACTCCTTAACAATCCCACACACAAACCCAGAACAATGTGCTCCCACCGAAACCTCCACAGAGAGTTCATTTGAGATGCTGGAGGACGATCAAAGTGGACGCCAACGCGGTGAAGGTACTTCTACAGAAAAAGTGAATGCCCTTCAGAGGAAGAACCCCTTGTGCTACAGCTGCCAAAAGCACAGCATAGTAGCTGGTGTTGTTCCTGAGAGACAGTATTTGTTGTCCCAGCATGATTACCAAGCCCTGCTGGCTGGAGTTTGCCATGAATGTCTGCTGAAGAGACTTCACAGTGAGAAGACACAGTTCAAACTCAATAAACACAGAACTGCCCACAGTAAGTTTGAACATTACTGTTGAAATATGTCTTCATCATCGGTATATCTTTTTAACCACTAGCAGGAAAGTTAGGACAACAGTGTTGGTCTGGCAGTCCACCACTTTTGATCTCAACAACTATTGCGTCGACTGCCATGAGTTGTAGTAACGTCGGTGATACCCTGACTTTTCATTTAATGTCTGCTTTGGTTTATGACCAGATACCTGCAAAACTAAATTCCAATCGGTGTCACTTATACTTTGGGCCCTATTTTAATCACAGAAGTGCAAAGACCAGGTCTTGGGTGCATGGTCTGTGAGGGAGTCTCCAAGCACACACTTTGGTTCATGAAACAGCTGTGCCTTGACAGCAACAGCTCAACAAATAGAAAAATGGCTTCTCCAGGAAACAATATTGTTTTCTGGGTGATGCAGAGTGGCGTGATGTGAACAATCAGAACCAAAAATCTACATTCAGAGGCAGAATTTGAAAACCTATTGTAATATTTTGGTGAAGCAGTTTCTATGTTCACATTAATCTGACATGGCTGTGCGCGATGGCCCTGTGACACTGTGACACCGCTTCTCAAATTAAAGGCTGCAGATTTATCAGTTTATGTGTCCTCCGGCCTTCAGATGGCTGCAGGAATATAATTTACTGTAAGAATCACTCCTATTCATTTATAGAGCAATGCAGACTGCTTTACAGACATTCCTGCTTTAACCATTTGAAACTTTTTTTATGCAGATTGAAACAAATCTGCAAGGGAGTATTTAATGAAATTACTTTATTGATGCACATTTGTTGCAAGTATTTCATTTTCATCATCAAATGTGCAGCAGAGTGATGTTGTGCCAGAAACAGACATGGTTCTGGGACTAAGGCATGGTCACATTACATTTCTGGTATACAAATATTCACTCCATCACCCATTCGCTTCTGTCAAAGCCCAAATGACAAGCAGGTCCAAACGTGCTTCAGCAGAATTCGTTGGTCAGAATTCACCTTTGTTCAGCTTTGACCAGGCGGGTCTGCTCGTGCAGCCGAAAGAAAGCCGATCGCTGCTAAAACAGAAATTATTGCTCAAGCTTGTATCAGAATTGTGACATGTGTGGGAAATTTCATTGAATGGAAGTGTAACGTGATGTGCCTTAAGGTCCAATTTCCAACAGAAGATCAACAACTCGCTTTGTTTACACGGCCTAATTTCAATGAACCTCCCACCAGTGCTCTGCGCTGCACCCAATACAACACACACGGGCAAAGTGCAAACTTTATTTGCCACAAAAATAGGGCCCTTTGTGTATTGCTAAATAACAAATCTTAGCATGCTAAACCGCTAAATTATCATAATGAACATACTTGCTAAATATACTAAATATCAGCATGTTAGCATTGTCATTGTGCGCATGTTAGCATGCTGATGTATTTCTAGTATCGCCACATTTTCTGTGCTGAGCTGATAGGTCTTTGCATTGAAATCAGCACAAACTGAAGTTAATTATGAGCTGTATTATATGTAGAAACTCAACTGTGGCTTAAAGGGTAAATAAAACATTGACTGTAACTGTTCTGCTAATGTCTATTAGGTGCTCTTCATTTAAAGTTCTCCAAAGCCACAGGCCTGTGGACAGCCAGGGAGACCTGCGTTTACATCGGGGAGCCAATGGGGATGCAGGGCAAGCAGAGAGCAGCAATATGGGTACAGTTTTTACACCAGGAAGAAAGGTTAAGCAGGTACGCAGCCACACTTTCTAGGCACAACCTGAAAAGAATGACTTAAGTCTCACTTTGTGTATTTATGTCCTTAGTTATGTGGGTAAAGATTACTTGAAGCCAAAGGCGATCCAGTTCCATCTGAAAGATGTGGAGCGACAGATGACAGCCCAGTACTATGTGACTGAATTCAATAAGAGTCTTTACGACAAGGAAGTCATGGCTCAGATCTTCTTCATTCCCTCGGAAGCACTACTGGTGAGGCCAAAACATAAAGAGGAAATGAACATTTATTGTAAGAAAAATATTTTACCTCATTTAGGGAAATTAAAGAAAGCAAATTACTTCCTTCATAAATACCACTTTATTAGGACCCCCTACATATACACATACCTTCAGAGACAGCAGAGTGCAGGATAGCCTGCAGCAGCCTTGGAGCAGTTTTGGTTGAAATTCAAATGGAAAACCCCAGTACACCTTCCAGTTGTCAGTTTACAGCTACAGTGCCTTCCGAAAGTATTCGGCCCCCTTGAACTTTGACCTTTTGCCACATTTCAGGCTTCAAACATAAAGATATAAAACTGTAATTTTTTGTGAAGAATCAACAACAAGTGGGACACAATTATGAAGTGGAACAAAATTTATTGGATATTTCAAACCTTTTTAACAAATAAAAAAGTTTAGAGGGACGGCCTTGTCTTTGTAGATTTGCAGTGGTCTGATACTCCTTCCATTTCAATATTATCGCTTGCACAGTGCTCCTTGGGATGTTTAAAGCTTGGGAAATCTTTTTGTATCCAAATCCGGCTTTAAACTTCTCCACAACAGTATCTCGGACCTGCCTGGTGTGTTCCTTGTTCTTCATGATGCTCTCTGCACTTTAAACGGACCTCTGAGACTATCACAGAGCAGGTGCATTTATATGGAGACTTGATTTCACACAGGTGGATTCTATTTATCATCACTAGTCATTTAGGTCAACATTGGATCATTCAGAGATCCTCACTGAACTTCTGGAGAGAATTTGCTGCACTGAAAATAAAGGGGCTGAATAATTTTGCACGCCCAATTTTTCAGTTTTTTATTTGTTAAAAAGGTTTGAAATATCCAATAAATTTCGTTCCACTTCATAATTGTGTCCCACTTGTTGTTGATTCTTCACAAAAAATTACAGTTTTATATCTTTATGTTTGAAGCCCGAAATGTGGCAAAAGGTCGAAAAGTTCAAGGGGGCCGAATACTTTTGCAAGGCACTGTAGAAATACTCTCATGACGGAGCCGATATTTTGTATTTAGTATTCTCTTAATTGTCTCTCTGCTCTTCTCTGAATGAATGGGACCAAAAAAAAAAACAGAATTTGCCATTTTGTCCTTAATACCTCCTCTGAATTTAAACACCATATTCCAAGACGGTTAAGAATAATGAGCAGTGACAGAAAACCATCATCTTCTAACACCACATTTCCTGTAAAGAAAAAGAAAATTATACAACACAAATACACAGCTGTATCTCTTCAGCTAAATGTATTAGTTTTGTACAAAGAAAGGCTTTAAATATTTACTAGTTTACCTCTTGTTTTCTGTACCTGCATAGATTTTGAATGGAAATGAGATTGTGGGCTGTGTAACCGTGGAGCCCTACATGCTGGGAGACTTTGTCAAACTGACAAACAACACTGGGAAGAAGAACAAGAGTTTCCAGGCTACAGAATATGGCCTTGCCTTTGGACACTTTACCTACCAGTTCTCTGACTGCCAGGAAGTTGTTGTAGACCTGCAAGGTGTGTATGTGTGTGTTTGTGTCACTGATCACTGAAATCCCCGAGAGTGAGATTATTTTCCACAAACTGTGTATTTTGTCATATGGCAAATGTCACACTCCTTTCCACCTGACGAACGCATCCTAATCCTCCTTTTTATTCACAGGCTGGGTAACTGCCAGTGGCAAAGGGCTGACCTACCTCACTGATCCTCAGATTCACTCCACCAAGACCCCTAAAGGTCCCTCCAACTTTGCTGCCAGAGGCCTCAGGTACTTCCTAGAAGAGCAACATGGACCACAGTGCAACGGGATTTGCCAGCTGCTCAAACTGCCTCCAGTGGACAGAAAGCCTCAAGTTCTGCCCCAGAAACTTTGAGAATGTGCAGATGTGTTTGTATGTGGGAGTGAAAAGATAATGTTAAATTATGAGTAACAAGCTATTGATGCAAGTTTACATATTTCAAAGTTTACATGAATCAAATCCACAACTGACATAAATTGTAAAGTATCTCTTCTTCTTCAGCTCTTCTGGTACCTTTTATGTAAACAGGGTGTGAGGTTTTACATTTTAAATTGTTTAAAATGATTTATTATTAAATCTGCACAATGTAGGAGTTTTGTTACCTGGATCAACTCATTCTGTAGTTTACTGAAAGAGGACAGAGTTGGATGACATTTAAATTATTGGCCTATGTGGTGTTAGAAAGGTGATTATTTCTCCATACTCTGAATGATAATCTAGTCTGTGAATTACAGCCGCTGAATTCCAAGATAAGTTCTATTTCAGTTTAGCTCCTGCTGCAATAATTATAAAATACTTGTGTTGTTTTGTTTTGGTATAAAAATCTGCCAACATCAGTAGTGGCTTTCAACATGTATGTCAAATGTAAGCAGGTTACATATTAAGATTTAGTCATCTTTACTCAAACATAATGGGGTAGTGATTTGGTGCAAGTCACTACAACAAATTCAAGACTATAAATTCTATAAATCAAAAGTACTTTTGTTGTAATGTTTACTTAAGCAACCTTAAGTCAGTCAGTCAGGTGACTGCTGTACACCTCTAGATCAGTTAACCTTGTTAACGTCAAGGTTTCTTTATCATTGACAAGCATTTGTTAAAAGTTGTTGATTATCTAACAACAGATTTTGAAAACAAAGTCTTGTTCTCCTGCTATTTTCCCATCAAACCTGCAGCATGATTGAGTCCGAAAAGGAAAACACACCCAGATTAATGTAGCCACTGTTTTACTCAGTGATGGTGATGTAGGAGAAAATGTGATGTCCCCTGGTTTATACATACAGACTGCATGATTGCAGGTTTCCTAAAGTGTCATCAACTTTCTGTGTAAGCCGTTGTTCAATAAAGTGTATTTGTTATGTTTTCGGTAGTTATCACTGTCACTGACTGGATTGTTGTCTAACTGGACTGGCAGTGCAGGAATCACCTGACAAATGATGTTGATTGTAAAGCTGGTCCTTTAGTGGTCAGCACTGCATACTGTATATCTGTCATTGCCCCTGTGTGTTAGATATTCAGCTTTGTTGCACACATTGTTTACAATAAAAATATTTAAACTTGTAGTCATGCCAACATCAGTAGTGGCTTTCAACATGTAAAATGTGATAGTTACTCAAACATAATGGGGTTGTGATTGATTTAGTCCAAATCAATATAACAAATTCCAGACCCTGATTATTCTATAAATGAGAAGGACATTTGTTGCAATATATTTATTTAAGCTGCCATACGTCAGCCAGTCAGGTGACTGCTGTACACCTTTAAATCAGTTAACCTTGTAAATGTCAAGGCTCCTTGAACATTTAAGAATCTTTGACTATTTAACAATAGATCTAAGTATTGTCCTGCTATTGTTTCCATCAAACCTATCACGATGCAGCATGATCGAGTAAGAAAGGGAAAACATACCCAGATTAATGTAGCCAGTGTTTTACTTACTGACATTGATGTAGGAGAACTGTGTTGTTCTCTGGTTTATACATACAAACTGCATTATTGCAGATTTCCAAAACTATGTGACCTGAACTTTCTGTGTAAGTAAATAAAGTCCCTCTATCTCTATAGATATATGTAATCAATAGAGTAAATCATTAAGGCAAGAAGATGGCATGATAATCAGGTACTCAGATGACTGCAGTCCCACACCTCCACATCATATGACAATGAGCATGGAGCTATTAGCACATGTGATCCTCCTCTCCATTCAGCCAAAATCCAGTTCTGGGTTTGTTAGCCTTGATCTTTGTGCACAATAACAGCATTCTTTACCCCTGACCCACTGTGCACAAGCCTCACACTCACTCATCTACATGCATGGCCTAAAACATATTTCACTGAGAAATCATCTGTTTATTTTGTTATATATGTTCTTAGTTTGGCTGTGAAATGTGTAGGAATATATCATCTTTAACAATTATACAAATATTCTGTACAATTGTGTCCTCCATGAAAAATATTCACCAGCCTTTCACTCTCCACTCAGATGTATCAGGTGTTTCAGGGCTTGGCTCTCATGGGAGCAACAGGGTTAAAAATAAAACCAGGAAGAAGGTCCTTCTCCCGGAGCCCCAGTGTCCGTATTTATAAAGAAGTGACTCCCCTCAAGCAACAGAGTGTTTGTGGCTGCTTGACGACAGAAGCCTGAATTGTAAAATATGAGACTCTTGGTAGTGTTAACATGCGTACTGGCAGGCTGCCTGGCCGAGAAGCCTCAACCATGCTGTAAGTAAAATAACAGAGAGAAAAGTGATTGTGGGAATTCAATTTTATGCTTTCCTTATATTATTTAAAAAAATATTTGTACTGGAAATGTTTTTCATTGCTGACTTGTGTAGCCTAACCCTTAGGCCTATTAAACACTATTTCACTCTGTCAAATGAGTGCTTTATATTAAATCATTTGTCATGATTTCACAATTTCTTCCATAACACAGCGAGTCCTCCTCTTCTGAGCGGAGCCCTCACTATGGTAAGTGTTTCAAAATACATTATGTGAGCACAATAAAGCAGGATCTGATCATGATGCCTAAGAACAATGTAAACTCATCACCATTGTTTTCTCCATTCAACCCTGAATGAAAAGCTGGGGGGTTACGCCACGTACCTCTATGATGCACTGGAACAACGGATACGGCTCAGTGAGATGGGCACTTTTGACAATAAGACATTCACCTCTGACGTTCTTCTGCTCTTCAAAGAGGTGACAAAAGCAATGATATGAACATCTTATCAACATTTTAGAGCGAAGAAGAGAGAAAAGTACATGGGAAATAATTTTATTCAAAGTAGAAGCATACAGACCTGCTTTGGAATATTATAGGTACTCAAACATTCATCCTGAATTTTCAATATTTTAAAAACTGAGTATACATTTGCATTGTGATTTAGAAAATGTTATGCCTCCACCAACCAGTCAAGCTGCAATTTACATCCACGTCTGTCCAGACTCACATGTACTGAATACTATAATATTACTTTTTAATATAAAGTGGATTTGGCTAAATGGAGGTCATCTCTATATTGAGGATGTGATTCCAGTGAATGGGCATTGTTGAACTGATTATAAAGGATTATCATAGACGTTTGGCTAAACAAGTCCTTGATTAGGCCACTATGTAAATAATTCTTATAGACTGCATTTTTAGTCTTTGGGGCTTAGCCCAGCCCAGAAATCTTCACGTTTTCACCTGATAATAATACAACTAATATTATCAATAATAATAGGGGAAGCGAAACACAAAATTCAGGCTGCAAGTGACAATTCAAACTATAAAATTACAACAAGATGTAATGCAGTGCAGCTCTCAGGCGTTCTGTATTGCTTTCAAATGTCGTCACCTATAGATCAACTTTTCTCATGTAATATCATCCCTGCTGAGTCAGCACACTGACTGAAAGTAACCTCTTTAAATGTGCATGTAGATTCACGTCAATAATAAATGATATAATTTTAATTAATTTATAAACCCCTGGACTTTAATAGCTTCTGCATTTCAGCAGCTTTTCTGCTCAAAACCTTCTGCATATTCAGAATCTCTCACACATGTGTGCTCTGACACGTCAAAAATAAAGTCATAATATTTTAACAAAATCTAGCTGTCCTATACTCGACGATGGGGGCATGTCTCCATCACTTTTTTGAAAGTAGTTGTTATAAGAAATGTTAAATAACAAATAAAATAGCTTTGAGAAAGGTTTATCTGCACACTAAGAAAGCATGAAATGCAATATAAAAAAATAGAAGAAACAAATGCATTGAAAAAATAGTAACTTAAGCTAAAAAGATGAGCTACTGTATTATATTCCATTATATTTTAATATTCTGAAATGTTCCCTGCCACCTGAATTTTGTTTTTCCCTTCATATAAATAAAATACATTTCCACCATCAATTGGTGCAGAGGATTTCAGAATGCAGGAAATTAAGTGTTCTCTTAATGCACTTTTCTGAGGGAGGACCCCCCACTAATACATTTCAGCATTGAATATTTCGTCCACATAGTGTTCAAATATCTTCTCGTCTTGTCCTCGTGAACCCAATGTTGGGCATCGTCACCTCTCGTGAGCTAAAAGTGTATCGTCACACCCCTAATCAGAGCCCTTATGTCCCTTTTCAACACAAAGTGACGTCCTTGCCTATACTCTGCTGTACACTGGCTGCAGCTCACAGCTGACACTGATGCTCTCTCAGAACGGACGTGATGGAGCACATACTGTGCTTTGTTGTGTCGTCCTTGTGTGTGACATAGGCCAAATCCTTCTTAAAAAGTGCTAAAAACCTATGAGGTCACAAAAGTGTCACATATTCCTGTTCTTTGGTTTTGATGTTGACTGGTCAAAAAGTGTTGTTCCAGGATACAGAGATGTCTTTGAAGTTGACCTTGTTGATAAAACCGTCATCACTTCAACATCTGCGTGAAAATTTGTTATAACTACAGCATCAATTCTTGTGTTGAGAGTAGTGGCCAAAAAAAACATGTTTTGTGAAGCCACCGTGTCCTTTGACCACCAAATTATAAATCAGTTCATCCTTGTGTCCAAGTAGACGTATTCGCCATATTTGAAGAAATTTCTTCTAGGTGTTCCTGAGATATTCACGAGAAGGGGACGGATATGAGGTCACAGTGTCCTTGACTCGGAACCAAGGGCGTCGCTTTGTGTTGAAAAGTGGTGGCTCATATGAGGGGTGTGACAAAACACTTAGTCCACGAGACGTGATGTTACACAATATTGGAATCACGAGAACAAGACAACAAGAGACTTCTATATTTATAAGAAATATTCATTGATGAATAAGGCTACTCGATTGGGGGGTCTGGGGTTCCTCCCCCATAAGGTTTATTCATTCATTCCTATTGTGCAAGTAAACCTTTCTCGTAGAATTTTTATTTGTTATTTAACATTTCTTGTTTCAAGCTAATTTGCAGAAAACTTTTAGCAAATGCTTTCAAAAAGTGGTGGGGACATGTCCCCAGTGTTCCCAGTGTAAATGACAGATATGCCTGTGACCACCAAATTCTAATCAATCTAATCAGAGCCCAAAGCAGAGGCATTAAAAAAAAGGGATCCTTTTAAAAAGACGACATTTAAGAAAAAAAAGATACATACATAATGGAGCATAATAACAGTTAGCAGTTTCCTATGTAAAGGGTGCAGAAAGTCTTATTACTTGTTTATTGCTGAGAGGTGGACTTTAGTCTGTGTCCAAATCTGTCTGCCTCTAAATCATGTGAGCACAAATGTTATGTTAAGTCTATATTATGTCAAAAAGTCTTACATGATGGTGTGGAAGGCAGAGGTCAAAACCAGGGACGCCAGTCCTGACAGGCAAACTAATCCAGTAGGAGGGCAAGATAAATCCTAAATCCAAAAGACAGGCAAGGGCCAAGGAAAAAACGATCCAAAAACACTAGGAACGGCTGGAACACTTGACACGCTAGTGAGGGAAAGATAACTAGACACAGGCGAATCAGGGTGGGGCAGGCCATGAAAACTGCTGAGAAGACACACAAAGGCAAGGCAAGGCAGCTTTATCTGGCATAAAGGCAGGAAGTACAGTAACCTAAGACACATAACTGAAGTAAAACCCCAAATCATCAGATGTTAGAATAATTGTAACACTTAATAACAACTTGTTCTACAGTAATCGAACAGTGCTGCTTTTAAAAAGCATTAAAACCCCTCACTTTTTGGTAAAAACACCCTGAGTTGGTATTTAATGAACAATGATTATATTGCTGTATGTTTATGTGTAAATGTCAGATGTAAAAAAAAAGAAATTAATCAAAATAATCAACAGTCATCCTCATTCACTTTCGTCCATCAGGGTACCATGTATGAGATTAACAAACATGATCGCACGTGCAAGAAAAGGCCTCTGAAGACAGACTTCCAGCCTCTGGAAGTCCCAAAGAATGCATCCCTGCTGGCCCAGGTTGTTTTGGGCACTTCGTCTGGACCTGGACAAGGACTCCTGGTCAACAGTTGGATAGGAGATCTTCCCAACAATGCAGGTTAGAGAGCATGTAATGGTTAGATCTGTCCTAACTGTTTAATCCTCAATCCCAGTTAATTAACACATTTATTTTATTTTCCGCTGACCTACAGGAAAGTTTGTGACCACAGTCACTAAATCTGGATGTATTCCTGTCAGCACTGTGTATCACTCGGACCAGTTTGGATGGGCGGTGATAAGGTTAGTTTACATTTTCATCACTGACTGAATCTGAAATATAGCGTCCGACCAAGTGATCATCATGTGACCGTCTTTCTGTTTGCCATAGCTTCTTCAACAACATCATCGGGATTTCGGACCCCAGTCTCCTCAACCCTCCAGACTTCTGCCCGAGTGCAGAGATGAAGGTTGACATTGAAGAGCCAGCAAACTTCCTCAGCGTGTTCAATAACTAGCACTGAGGGCCTCCTTTAAAAAATGGATCTTCTGTACTGAATCATCAAGCGTCAGATTTTTACACATTTTGAAATTCCTGTTTTTAATGCATATTTCTGGCTTAAACCTAAAGCTGCACCTAAAGCTGACGTTTTCATGTTGACAATGGAATTAAAAGTGTGTAATGTGGACTGGCGTGTGACTACACTTGTCTCAATAAAAATATAAGAATACTGAACAAATGACTATATTTCACCTTGTCTCTTTGTGTAATGAAAATGTACAATACACAGCATTGTAATATTAGGGCAAAAGGGATTAATGACAGGAATTTAAGACTACATCTTTTATACTATAAATTACTAAGTCTCCAGTGACAACAGAAAAATGAATTAACATGACTGTATCATTTTATAAATCAACTTTCCAGAATCTTTTAAGTGGAATTTGAAATATGTGATGAATCTTTTTATTTTTTATTTGATAGCGTTAGAGCTGTAAACCTTGAACAAAAGACAAGCAAAGTCACTGAGCAACATATCCTATTTTATGGATTTGTTGCTGAACTTTGGTGATGTACATTAATACTAATGAAGAGCAAAGACCAGAACAGCTCAATAAGAGATGCCTACATCATTTCCCAAGCAAGCAAATGATCAAAAATCTTTATTGTACTCAACTCTTCCTTGTCCTTTAGGTAATACAACAAGATTATGCAACAAAATGCAGAATCTGACCTTTTCGCTCAACTTTTACATTAATAAGAATAATGTTTGAGCTTTACGGGGCCCCTGGAGTGGCAACTGAACTATTTGTATGCTTTTCATTTGCATAAAATTTCTTTTGAGTGTTCAAGAGGAAATTGTGTCTTAGACCCTGGAACACAAATTCTCCTTTCTAAATTCCCTGGAAGTCAAAAGGTTTAATATTTAGATATAGATCAACAGATTTGCCGTTATATGGCTCTACTGAAAGAAATATTATCAAATGCTTTTATTCTGACAGGACAGGTGTATGAGCTACTGACGACACAAAGAAAACCTGGCAGTGGGACTGGGAGCCTCAACAGCTTGTTTATAAGGAAGTGAGCGCCTTGAAGCAGCAGCACATTTGCCTCTGTGCAGACTAAAGTGGATACCGTCAGACAGCATGAGATCCCTCGTCCTGTTTGTGTGCCTGTCAGTGGGCTGCCTAGCTCAGAGACCACATATATGCAGTAAGTACAACAGCACAGATGTTGAGTTAATTTACCTACTATCAATACCAATCAGGCTGTTCGGTTTTGCTGTAGCATTTATGAGGAAACATGATGTCGCAAGCTTAGCCACAGCTGTGATGTAAATGCTCTGTTTATAATAAAACAGTGAAAACACGTATTTCATTTTAACAGGATCCCCGCCGCTGCTGACTGGAAGGCTCTCTGTGGTAAGTTTTTTTTTCCGCAGGTGATTATGCAACTGTGTAAACCAAGTTTCCTGATAATGCATGAAAAAGATTTTATTCACCATACTGGATTACTGTTGATTTGGAGTAATGGGATCACAGCCAAAGCAATAAGCTTGCTGTAATAAGGAAACTTTCAATAATTTTTGTGCCATTTCCCAAGTCCACCCAAAGTGAGAAGCTGACAGCCTATGCCAAGTACAGCTATGACGCACTGGGAAAGCGCATCCGCCTCAGAGAGTTTGGATCTTACAACAACATGACCTTCCACTCTGATGTACTTCTACTCTACAGACAGGTAATGACAGCATAGCAGTGGTTATCTGCATTAGGAGATGTCATGTACAATACAAATCACTGTATAATGCAATCCTTTCCTGCAGGGTGTTATGTATAAGATAAACTACAGGGACCGCACATGTTGCAAGAAGCCCCTGTGCACACGCTTCCACCCGCTGGAGATCCCACGGAATGCGTCCCTGCTAGGACAGGTTGTGTTGGGCAGCTCCTCTGGACCAGGACAGGGACTTCTGGTCAACACCTGGGTGGGAGAGATGAAGCTGAGAAATGGAACAGGTACAGTAAGAGGAAGCTAGAGAGCAGGGGAAATTTGACAGAAGAATTAAAAAGTCATGCGGTGTACATAGCACATGACTTCCTGTGATTCTTCAGTCTAATCAATGCCTGAAGTATTTCATGCTCCAGAACCTGCTGGTCTGGTTGTGCTGCCTCGACTCACATGTGATCCATTTCTGTCTCTGCAGCAAAGTACATGAGCACTGTCACTGAGTTTGGATGTGTTCCAGTCAGCACTCTGTTTTATACAGAAAAGAGTGGATGGGTCGTGACAAGGTCAGTGCAAACACATGACAACTCACAAGAGGGAAGTACAAGATTTTTCACAACATAGGCTTTTTGAGAAGCTTGTTCGAAAAACAAATATATAAATGGCGCACAATAACTCTCAAAGACCACATTTTATTTAGGTGCATCGGTGTGTGGATACTGGTATTGTACCTAACTGTACCTAATAAAAACAGCCATGATTATAGTTAAATCTATGTGTTTCCTGTTATGCACAGGCCAAATGGTTGCTGTGACATATGAGCGAATAGTCCAACATTTTTCGGAAATAGGGTTATTCACCTACTTGTCGAGAGTTAGATTACAAGATTGATACCACTCTCATATCTATTAAAGATGAAGCTCCAGCCAGGAGATTGTTAGGTTAGCTTAGCGTAATGACTAGAAACAGGGAGAAACAGCCTGGCTCTGTTCCAAGGTGGAACAAAATCTTAAGCTCAAAGGTTGCATTATAGCTGAAGAGTTGATTTGTTCTTTAATATGCTATTTGGACACTTGTCATAGTACAATGATTACAACTCAGACTTTTTCAACCTCTGAGAAAAAAAAACACTAAACAACAGGAGAAAATTGCCATTATATCTTCATTTTATAATGAGATTTTCTTGCCCCACACTCCAAGTATCCTTCAGCATATATGGAGCTTCTGTCCTCTTGGTTGCAGTAAAGAATAACAGTAGCATACATTGTGTTTGTCTGCACAATTTCAATAAAAATTCTGTCTGTTTTCCACCTTCAGCTTCTTCAACAACGTCATTGGTCTAGAGGACCCTCAGCAGCTCAACCCTCCAACCTTCTGTGAGGACGCCCTGCTGGAAGAAGACGATGGAGAGGATCCAGAAACCTTCTTCAGCTTGTTTTAAAATAGACTATTTTCAGATATGTGGTGCACTGTGATGATGACTACTATGAACGAGTCTTTGCACTGTATTATTACTTTTTCATGTCTTTGGTGTAGTGGAATTTGTGAACAAGCTGTCTGTGGGTTAAAATGATGTGAAACTTCAATGTCCTGGAATAACACTTTTTGTTGCGACAGCTCAGGAGATTGGGGGAGATTGTGACCATATTTCACAGTTGGTTGAATAGATGACACTTTTGACTCAAAGGTCAAAGGTCATTGTGACCTCAAAATAGATTTTTAGCAATACTTTAAGAATGAATTGGGTGATTTCAGATTTCATACAAATTGACAATGAGTAAACAAAAACTACCACAGTACGGGCTTTCCTCCATCTCGTCAATTCCGCCTTTCACTTCCTCCATCGTTCTGAATTTAGAGCATCATCTGAATCATGTGACTACAAAACTGTCTTAAAGCACGCCTAGCTAATCGTGATCCTGTGAGTGAGTGAGTGAGTTTCACCTACACCTCATAGAGAAGCTTTGCATTGAAAAACACCAGGGGAAAACAAAAGTACCCCAAGTGTGTAGCTCTGCTCCATCTTATGGTTACACATTAAGTACCTGTTTAGCCAATATATCTTTGATAATCCTTCATTAATCAAATTAACAATGTATATTCACTGGAATCATACATAACGTATCATCAATATTGTGATAACTTCCATTTAGTCAAAAAATAAAACCATGGGGTGGTGATTCTAGTTCCTAGATGCTGTAAACAGGACAATCTGGAGACTGGCAGTCATGAAATGCAATCAGGCTTCCAAAGAATTTGACAATTAATTTGTTTGTTTCGTTGACATATATTGCTGCTTAATGTTGTTTGCTCAATATGTTCTTTGTAAATTCATCTATTTTTAATAATCACATTTAAAACTATCAATTATACACAGCTAAGAACAATCGACTCTTCCTTATTTGTCTTTAATTTTCTAACATTCTTCCTATTAATAATCATATAAATAAATACATTTTTATAATCATTTTCATGTGCAAATGTATCATATTTTAAGGGATTCTCGTATTATCTTTGATCAGCATGGAAAGGATTTGGTTTCATAGTAGAGCAATACTCTCATGTCTGTTAAGTACGAAGCTAGAGCCAGAAGGCAGGTAGCTTAGCTGAGCATGAAGACAGTTAGCCTGTCTCTGTCCAAAGTTCAGAAATCTACCTATCCAACACCATCAAAGCACACTTATTAACAAGTTGCATCTAGTTTTGTTTAATTAAAAAAGTCAGTGGGTTATGCTACTATTTCTTTGCAACTTCGGGCCTGGAAATTCATGGTTCTTTTTATGTTTTAAGAGGTTGGACTGGGTGTGTGTGAGAGGACAAAGGTATGTGTTTTATGTACGTGTAGCTACTCCTACAGAAGTTGGGACAGAATCCTGTATAACTAGGCCAGAAACAAGCTGACAAAGTAGGTCAAAGCGGCAAAGAGAAGCTACTCGGAAAAACTGGAACTGGCTGAATTGTTTTTCAGCCAACAATCCTGTGTCAGTGTGGAAAGGCCTGCAGATTTTCACCTACTACAGGAGACCATCCCCGCACATTGCGGAGAACCTCCTCACAACCTGAATGTGTTTTACTCAACAGATCACTGGAGCTGTGTCCAGTTCTCTTCTGCTTTAAACACTCCACAATCATCCCAGACCCCTAAGTGTCAAGAGGAGGTGTACAGGTATGGGCTGCTATTATTAAAGATGAGATCGTTGGACCTTTTCAGGCTGAAGATGGAATGAAACTTAACTCCAAAACTTACATCCAGTTTCTGGAATTTACTTCCTTCAAGCAGTGGTGCAGGAAGAAGTCTTCAGCATTCAAGAAGGAAATGATCTTTATGCAGGACAATGCTCCATCACAAGCCTCCAAGTACTCCACTGCTAGTCTAGACAGCAAGGGCCTCAAAGATGCTCAAATAAAGACCTGGGCCCCTTCCTAACCTGACTTGAATCCTATTGAGAACTTGTGGGCCTTTCTCAAACATGAGATTTACAGTCAGGGAAGACAAGTAAACTCTTGTGTTGTGTGTCTGTGGTTGCTGCTTCAGCGGACGTTGATGGTGAACAGATCAAGAACTGACAGGCTCTGTGGACTGAAGGCTCATGGCAGTTAATGAAAAGAAGGGCGGCTCACTAAATGCTTTTGAAAGGCCAAAAATGTTATTTGACATTTTGTGTTGATACACTTACTCCAAAAATTGAGAATTCACAAGTAATTTGATAGAAATTATTATTTTAATTTAGTTGCCTAATAATTCCACACACTTAAATCTTCTCCTGAGCAAGACAAAACTCACTTTTCCTTAGTTAAACATTCAGAGCATTGTGTAATTATTCCTGAGGAATACAATTGGCCTAATAATTGTGCATGCAGTGTATATCCAGTAGAGTACAATGCAACAAGTACATGTGAATGTGAGCTGGTCTCAGGAAGCAACTGATCAAACTCTGTTGTACATTCACTTATATACCATCTTTCTGCTCCTCCTTCTATTGTCAATGTGGTGATGATTTCTTTATATTGTTCTATTTTGTCTATTTGCTTATGTTTTCTTTATCTATAGTCCATTGAACTCTCTCAGCCTCCTTAAATATAACAGACACAAGTGCGTAGTGGTAAACTCTATACAATCAAAAGCTTGTGTAGGCCTGTTCTACTTCGTGGCGAGCTGGATGACACTACCTCTGCTGGCCACTAGATGGCTGTAGATAAAAAGAAATGATGGAGAGGGGGGATGGGGGGGCTCTAAAAATTGATTTACAGTTAGGTGTAGATGTTATCACACACACTCATATTGAAAGCAGCCGCATCATAACTGAACTGTCTGTCTCTGTGCCAAATTAATTTGTAATCATAAATTTGATATAGTACCAAAATGATATAGTATAATTGTATTGCACTATAGATACACAGATGAATTGTGTTGGAGTTGACATAAAAAAGACAAATAATGACAGCAATGCAGTGATTAAGTAGAGAATAAACACACATTTCCCGATCGTGTTCAATAATTTACTCATTTAATCTTATGACCGTCCAGATGTACAATGTTGCTGCTATACAAGAGGACGAGGAATCACTTGGTAGCAGTAGTAAGACACTCCCCTTATCTCCCCAACCTCCTGCACCCCAACATCTGCCGCCATCACGCCATGCTCCTGTGCCTCAGTCTCCAGCCACAGCAGCCTGGCATCAGGGTCCTCATCGGAGAACTGGAGCAGAGATCCTGAGCTCCGCAACACCTTCAAGCACTGCTTCAGCACCAGACCGGCCTTCCTTTCCCCTTCCTTAGACCTCAACAAGGCGTCTGTGGTGCCCTTGTCCACTATAAGGTCCACGCTGCTAGAACCATAGTGCTTGTGAAGCTGTGTGCAGTCCAGCTCTACAAACTCAAGCAGAGAAGAAAGATTGTGAGGTTGAATGGCTTTGGCTTGGATGTGTTCCTGCATTAGTCGCACAGCTATGGGGGAAATGTCAGCGCAAGTGACCTGGACCGGGATGGGAGAGTGTCTGTAAACACAGGGCCCTAGAGCAGACGTGCCACAACCCATATCCAGGACTTGGAGCAGAGCATCTGTGTGGGACTTGGTCTGCAAAAGGGGCATGATGAAGTCTCGGACAGCATCAAAGCTAAAGAACCACTCAAAGTTTTTGAAGGTGGATGTCCTGCTGCTGCTCTCAGTGTAGAAGCGGTCCCAGGTTGCTTTCTTATCCATGTTTTCAATCAGTTCAGCTAGACAGAAACACAGACAGAGGGGTTATCAAGAGTTAGTAAATTACATCAACATTAGCATGTCCTTCTGGAGGCTGTAGTTTATGGTGCTGTTGAATTGAATGAATCATTTTCTGACCTCAGCCCTTTCAATTTTAATTTGTTTCCTCCGTGTTAAACCTAATGTGTTAGAACATTGTTTAAGCAGACTGACCAGCCATTCAGGAGACAGGGGCCAAACACATCTCTGTAACTTATAATGCTCAAACTACATCCTCCAAAATGAAAGTTGAATCAAACTGTTACGTATGCTAAACACAAAAGTCCCTAAGGAACGTTAAGACAACAGTACACACACCTGCACAGAAGTTTAGTTGCCTTTAAGTAAAATGAGCACTTCCTAACGTTATGTTAAGGTGTCGTCTGTCCACCTTACCTCAGCATTACGTTGTAGCTAACCGACTAAAGCTGGCCGACTAGCTAACTCAGTTCACTGCAGTGGTACTGCAATGTGTTAGTTAGCGTGCAACACGGCTATCTAAAATTAGATAATAGTTCAAGGTTTAAACGTACTTGTAAGAGAGGAGTGATTCCGTGCGCAAGCTGCAACTATTCTCCTGCCTGACAACGTCAACGACTTTGAAAACGGAGACATTTTCCCTCAGTTTGTCACTCTCGTCTGTCCAGCCGAAGAGCTCTCACTCCGCCCGGATTATTTTGGGATACCAACAGCGTTCATGAAAACGGTACCGAGAAGGCATCTGCTGCCGTAGACTACGATCTTTGATCAGGGTCGTGCAGCAAAGACGCGACTGCGCATGTGTGAGTGCAGGTGTTCTGGTCATTGCAGTACGCCAAGTGCTTCGCTGCTAGTGTGAAAAATTTGAGTAGGAGCATTGTAAACACTAAAGCACGTTGCTTCTGTTCGCGTGTTTCGTACAGCTACAAAACAGTTCAAAATATAAATATGCTTATTAAAAAAACACTCGATTTAATAATTTGCAGAATATTTCAAATTTTAATAATCACTCGTTTAAGTCATTTAACAACAACAAATGCATAAACAGTCACTGGTTTCAACTTTTAAAATGCGAGTTTCCTGCTTTTCCTTGTTTCATATCCGTGCAAATTGAATATCCTTTGGTTCTGGACTCCTGGTCTGACAAAAAGAGCAAGTTGTAATTGTCCGCTATTTCTCAATGATTCAAAATAAAGGCTGGAAAGCAAATGTCCAACTGCTTGAAGTAGGCTGCAGAGGGTTTGTAGCCATATCAACTTCAAGGATACTGCAGGAGATGGTGGTGGTGGGAAGGCCCGCCAGACAGCGGTCAAAGACCTCTCCAGAGCTGCTGAAAATGGCAGTCAGTGGCTCTGTATGAAGAGAAAGGCCTCTACCTGGGCGCTCAAGTGAATTGATGGTATCCAGGGGGTGAGGCCACAACACTGGGCATCACTGCTGAACCATCTGGAGGTGTCCTGGGCCTATCAGCGAAACATCAAGGAAAGAGGGCGACTAGTTGATAACCTAAAAGATGCCATCCCCCCCTTTGACCATCCCGCAGTCTAGGCAGCAGGTCTCAGGTGTGCAATTAAGGGATATTAACATCTAGTCCTACATGACAGAATGATTCAAAATAAGCGATTAATTCATAATGTAAATAATCATTTGTTGCAGCCCTAAAACTTCAACCTGACTCTTTACATAAAAACATGACACAAGAAATAAGATGTAAATCCCTTTAATAAAACTCAATGAAACGCAGTGTAACAAAGGAAAAGAATCCAACATAAAGCAAGTAGATAACATTTACAACCACAAAAAAAACCTGTACAACTCTAAATGCCTGGAGTCACTTATATTTTTCCAAAGATTTTTTTTAATTAACCATTTTGAGATGACTGAGGGTAAAAGTTTGGGCGAGAGGGGTAAGGGAGGCATGTAATGTGATTTTCTCTTTTATTTTTTCAAATACATGAGTGTAATCTAATACACAAATGTATGCTTCATCAACGTGGCTGCTGAAGTTTGTTGTTTTTTTTTTAATCTGAGGTGGGCTGTGGCCAGCAGTGTTATTTGTACAAGATGTCGTAATGGCCAGGTCTATACAGGAGGAAGATGCGTGGGTCGCCGCCTTCAGGGAAGACGTGGTGATTGACTGTTCCTCCCTCTCCTCTATCCATGTACTCCACCAGGATGGATACGTTCAGGGCCTGGGCTAAGGCGATGATGTGAATGTGGTCACTTTCTTTAGACATTGGCTCTACCTCCTTCAGAAAGAACAAAAACAAGCACATGAGTTTGTTTTCACAGAACAACTTAAATGGTTAAGCAACAAAAAGCTATTATGCACACAGAACAAGCCCAATCTCTTTTAGTAGAGCTGTCCTGTGAATCTATTAAACAAACAGCCATCAGCTTAAAAGGGAGCAGCTTCATAAAGGCACACTGAATAAAGCTGGTGATAGTGCTGCACGGTATACCAATACCAGAAAGGCAGTTGAATAAGTGATATCTGGTTGCAAATAACATTTAAACTTTCATTTACACTACAGATTTTCCCAACCAGCCGAGGAACTGGCCAGGGATGGAATGAATGGTAGACAATTTGTTTCTCAGTACCTAGAGGTTCGTTAAATTTGATCAAAGTGAAAAGAAAAAAAAACCCAAACACCTGCTGACAGAACTCCTTGACAGAGCGTCCTCCCTCTATGAAGTGCTGAAAGAAGCCGTGCTCTCGCTGCAGGTAGCCTGAGGTGAGCAGCCGCAGGTACACGACCACGTAGTCCGACACGTTCTGGTCGTTGAAGGAGCTCAGCAGCTCCTGCAGGCTCGGCTGTTTCTCACACAGTTCAATCAGGTCCATGAACTTGGAGGAAAGACATGATTTACATCATTAGATTGATAGCTACGTGTCCAGCTTGCCAACTTACTACCCGGCTGGCCAAATCTAGTGTGTCTGGTCTGTTCCAGCTGACCAAATACATCATGTGCTTTGGCAGATGACCATGCAGAGTTGGCAGGGCAATGAGCAAACTACTGCTAATTCTGATAACTGAACTCACACAGCACCACACGCTTAATCCAACAGGATACAACACACACTATACATACTGTAGGAGTGAAAACATTTTTACAGCTTTGATTTTCGATCAGAATAAGTGAATGAAAGCATTTTTGAAAGCTACTTTACAGCAGCAACACAAAAACACCTAAACATTTATGTTAACTTAAATAAACCAAATCATCATAAAATATTTGCTCCTTCAGTAAAGTCCTCATTTTGGTTTGTCAGTTAGCAATAACCAACTCACAGTATTGTGAAAGTCTTCAATGGTAAACTCAGTGAAGCCCTCGTTAACCAGATCCAGTTTACTTTTAGATGCAACTGCTTTGAACCTGAAGAGACAAAAAAAAAACAGCATGTGAATATTATGGCTGCCATAGTGTATGTTAGATTGTACGTATAATGAAAAACAGTGCAGTGTAACAAACAACACAACACTAAATGTTAGGTGACATACATAACTGTCTAGCTAGGTACTGTTCATACATGTGACAGATTTGAATAAAACTCCACGAGAGGACAAAACTGTGCCAAAACATACTTTAAAATACTGATATGATCCTTAAATAGTCCAAGATGATGGTGTGAACTGTGTGCAGTGGCTGATCCTACAGCAAAAACAGTAGTAAGGGAGACAGCAGTCACCCAAACCAGATTCAAACCTGGGTCTACAGGGTACCAAACACGCAACTTGACCGCAATGCCACAGAGCCAGGCTCGGTGGTGCGCCAGTCAAAGCGCATACTCGACCGCGGTGACGGTACTCCATCACACACTCACTTCTGAAGTTCTTTGCTGTCATCTAGCAGGGACTCGAGATGTGCGAAGCCGAAAGCTCTGTAGAAACAATTCCCATCTGGCCGTGTCTTACGAATGTACGAGTATTTTTTGTGTAGGTCCTGCAACAAAACAAACAAAAAAACAACAACACTGATATCATTCAGTAAAAACAAACGTAAAAACTGTAGCCAGTGTGTAAGCAGCAGTCATGTGACTCTGGATAAACTGACACCCTGTACTGTGGAAGAACAAAAAAAAAAACAAAAAAAAACACCCTACTGTGGGTGCAGTAAACTGAGAGCAGTGATGCGGTTTGACTCACCTTGATCTTGAGCTGATAAACCGTGTCATCATCAGCGTACTCCCTCTGCAGCACCGACAGCTCCTGTCTGTCCGACACTAAGGGGTTACTGTTGGCTATCTAAACACCCCCCAAAAAAAGAAGCATTAGTGCATGTACTGTAAGCAACTTAAAGATGACTTAATATGCTTTTCCTTATTTTCTGTCATATATATGATGTTACAATGTCCGACGTTCATAATAAAATCAACAAATATACAAATAAAGAGGTAAAAGACCGCCCTGCTCATCGTGCTTTCTGCAGCCCTGCCACAGTGCACAGATTGTAGAGACAGGTCTGGCAATGCTTGACAATTGTGCAAGTCTTGATGGACAGATGGCTCTACTTGTTGCAAAAGTAACTGCTAACAAGGGGTGCAACAGATCTCAAAACTCACAGTTTAGATATTTCAACACTAGGGATGTAACAATACCACAGATTAAGTAGTCGATACCAATACCAATTACATTCCACAATTCCCATTACCCAATTTGATACCACAATAAAAAACAAATCCCATGTACTTACACAATAAAAACATTTGAACATTAGAAAGACCAACTAACAGCTGTGAAAGAAGTGAGGGGATGTCCAGGTCAGATGGGAGGTGGTTTGATGTCGATATATTTAGAAATGAGGAAGCTGTTGAAATTACAACCTTGCAATGTGCATAATTAATTAAGTAATTAATTTTCTGAACTTTTGTTTTACAAACTCACAGGTGTAAAATGTTTAAGGAGGGTCGTTATATTGGTCTGAGATTTCGAGGTGGGGGCTACCGATTGAAATGGATTGTATCACACTTATAAGAACTTCCCTAACTCAGCCTACAGTGACAGGCGCGTTGACAGATATTCATCTGTCGTGATTTTGATTTGATCGGAATTGTGAAAAGTCTACCAACTTGGATCCCCGGTACCTGTGGTACTGTAGAAAAACAGGTACCGTCGCGGTTTTAGAATTTAGGAATCAACTTTGTCCTCAAGTATACGGTGATTCACTTCTTACCGGGGTCCATCGCCACAGTGACCTAACGCAGGGTATATCATGGCTCACAATGAGGCGGAGTTGGTAACATCCTGATCACATGCACACACATACATGTGCACTGTGCCTTCAAGTGGCTCAAGCAAAGACTTTTTACAAGCAGCATATTCTGATGATTATATGATTATGATTATACAATTATCACGTTAATGCATTTTTTTTGTTTTTTTTTGTTTTTTTTTTAAAGGTACCATAAGCCTTAAACAGCAAGACCTCAAATCAAATATAACATCAGCTCTAGTTTTCATTTTAAGGTCACAGCGTCCTCTTGCAGTGTAGATGATGTGAATGGGTATTAAATGTTGATGGGGAACTTTCTTTAGTGGGCCTAGTAGTATATGTTCTTACTGAAGCACGTCACGTGACATGGTTAAGCTCTGTTTGAGACCGAACATCAAACACTAGGGTTGTGAGGAGGGCTGAGACGATTCATCGATTAATTTGATTATTAAAATGCATCGGCGCAAATTCTTTTCATCGAGGCTTCGTTTAATCCTTATAACTATATAGCGCACTCTTTCGCACGGACATTTATGACTGTCGCAAATCGCACTTACGCTGTGTGAACACGGCGTGATTATGATGGCGCTGTTTGCAAAGTGGAGGGAGAGAGAGAAAATTGCGAGGGACGAAGAATAAAGTGTCGCATTATTTCAAGCTAAAAGAAAAACAACAACTCTGTAATGTTACAGTCTGTCCACCATAAAACAAAAGCGGACCACGGACGGACGGGGGCTATTCACAAGATCGAGATGAGATTTTAACATTAGTTTTAAGAAATCTTCAATGCTGAATTATATGAACATTTTGAGCATTAAACACTTAATTTTACACAATTGTTGCAATTTCTGCCTTTTCTGCATCAATGTATGGTGGAAATGTCTTTTTTCATGTAAAGGGAAATCCAAAATTCAGGTGGCAGGTAATGGAATATAATGCAGTAAGACTGTGTTGCTTTCTGATCTCCTGTAGATGAACTTTTCTCATTTAATATCATCCCTGCTGTGTCGACACACATGCAGGAGTGATTTACACTTCACTCCTCTTTTGTGTCTTTCTTTGGGGAAGTAGCATCTTCAAATGTGATTGTGGCACTCAGTAATTAATTAATTCAGTTAGAAACGCCTGGACATTAATAGCTCCTCTGTGTCAGCAGGTTTTCTGTTCATGTTCAAAATGTTATGCACATTCAAAACACATATCTGTGTTCTGACAGGAGGAGAAAAAAAGTCATAACATTACGAGAAAAAGTCACCATTTAAAGAGAATTCACAACCTACCTGCCCTATACTCTGCTCTGTTACATTACGTTATTGCTCTACTGATGTATTCCCTTTCGACCGCCTGACCGACACAGAACTGTTTGGGACTGTATGTCAGGTTGAGACCAGCAGGTGGAAACTGAAACTAACCGACGACACTTCTGATCAGGCAGAAATCTCACCACAAATCCACACACGTATACAGCACCTCTGACAAAATGCAGCTCCAATCCCAAACAGAGCAAGGTAGCACCCCAGTTTTTAGATGTTTATTTTGCAAAATTCTACCAGCTATGTTACGACTCTGTCACAAGCTGGCAGTGATTCACAGCACGAGAGGGGGTTCACTTGATTACTATCACACGCCAGTGTCGCATCGCTCTACGAATGGATATCATCAATTATACATGTATTTCACTGTGTGAGAAAATTGATGTGTGGAGTGACAGCACAAATGTCAATTAGGTTATAAAGGCACTCCAATCGGTAAAAAACTTGGTAGCCTGTTAGTTTCAAACAGATGCTGTGGAGATTTTGCAAACACAGAGCAGGTAAAGCAACAGTAAACAGTGCAGATGTTTGTTTCGGTTGTTTGATAGACTACGTCTTTAACAAGCCGGCATTCGGTTCACCTGCTGCCGTGATAACAGATCGCAGGTGGAAAACTCCAGAAAAAGGGAGAGTTCTAATGTCTTTTGTCCGAATTTATAAAACATACTACTGATGGAGAAGGTGAAGCAGACAGGGGGAGCGAGGGACAGAGAGAGGAGGGGCAAGCCGGTGTGTTTGCAGTGAGAGACCAGAGGTCTAGGTGTGTGTGAGTGTGTCTGAGTTTGGGGACGATGTAAACGATGCCATCGTCCATCGGCCCCTAATGGGGACAATTAACAATAAATGTATTGCAACAGTAGGATATTAAAATACTATAATACTATTTAATAAGGGACAATTCACAATGAATGCATTGTTGCAATACATATATCGTAGATTATCCTCTATTAAACAGGTTGTCAGCTACTTGACAGCCTCAATATGCTGCTTAACACACAGTATAAGTGGGTCTGAAGGAGGCTACTCTCACATGTGTGCAGATCCTTGTTTACAAAGCCTGACCGGACATAACATCATTTTTTTCGGAATATCTGACTCCGCCCACACAGCCATAACATCTACAACGTGCTGGCGTCTTGCATCTGCCAATGTGGTTGAACTTCAGAGAGTTTGTCGAAGTGATGAATGGTAGTGCACCGACTTCGACATGACAGCGTGTGTGTGCAGGAGCCGCTAAGCCCCGCCCTCGCCTAAACACAGACAGAGAGGCCCAGAAGCAGCGCTTAAAAACACCAAAACACAGCAGCGTTGTTTATCTGTTTGTTTGGCTTAAGTGCAGTGGGCAAAAATGCTCATAATGCAAAGGAAACCCCGGTTTTTATAAAAGGCATCACCATTTGGGCAGATTCCATGATATTCCAAGTTGTAGCCTACAGCTGATTCCATTTTTATTGTCAGATCCCGTTACGCTGTCCACGAATTCTGCATCTTTCAGGGGGCAGGTTTCGTTTTGAGGGGGCGGGCCGCCAATCAAAATAATGGTAGGGGATACACTGCACTTTTAAGTTTGGAACATTTTGAGTGTGTTAAAGAAATGAACAATGCTGAACAACTCCCCTTTTATGTGAACGCGCTCATGGTTGGATTGGAAAACCCTGGGTTGACTGAGTTGATTGCCAGCGTCGTGTGGAAGATTAGCGTGATTGCAATTCTTAGGTTTAGTGAAACAAAAAGATATGGGTTTGTTGAACTTGCTTCACAGTACAGGCCCCTGGTTAAATATGGGTTCTACTTTTAAAAATATCAAATTTGGTGTTGACAGGTAGCATATGAAGGGTTCAGCTGTGTGCACACATCTGCTGAGTTTTCTGGATGTTTAATTGTATAAGTGCCAAGAATACCTTTGCTCCGAGGCAGAATAATGGCAGGCCATCTTTTATGTCACCATACAAATTAAAAATGACCCTTGCCAATAAAAAAGGGATTTCTCACCTCTTGCTGAATTCTGTCCTGTTGAGCAATTATGGCCTCGTCATATGCGAGGCAGTTCCCTCCTGTAAAAGAAGGAGGAAAGATCAATTTGTCATAAAGGTGTAAATACTCCAAAGGGGGAGTGATAGGCCACCATGATGGCAGAGTTTGTTCAAGCTCAGTTGCCAGTGACGACTCTATATGAATCCTTTAATTAACAGTGTTAATATGTGGCATCTGGATTTAAACATCTGTATCAAATTAGGGCTGCTATACTGCTATTTATATACAGCAAATGCAGTAGCAAACAGTAGAAAAGTGCACTATTAAATAAGGATACCAGTGTGATTCCAGCTGAATAACGCTAGAGGTGTATGTGTACACACGAACTAACCTGCTTTCCTACAAGAGAAACCTTTGTTACAGGTGTTATATGCACCTATGGACAACGCAGCTGGATTATCATGTGACACGATCCACTAGGGGTGGGAATCACCAGAGGCCCCACGATAGGATATTATCACGATATTTATGTTGCGATTCGATTTTATATATATTGAGATATATTGCAATTTATGACCTTTTTCCAACTTCCAATTAGGTCCCTAAAGTCAAACTTTGTCAACATCTGTTTATCTAAAAAAGATAAATTTCTCTGTTTGTTCACTTTTTCAGTCCTCTATATGGTCCTGTTAAGTTTTCTAGTGGACTAAAAAGCAATAGATTTTATTATTCTAGTACCAAAAAAACTCCCTTCTGCAATTTATATAATAAAATATCGATACTTGGCATCCGTGTATTGATACAGTATTGCCATGGCAAATATCACGATACTATGATGTATAAATTTTTTCCCCCACCCCTACTATCCACACAAAATGCGACAAGGTTTGGCAATTTTTATCATAATCAAGCCACAACTGACCCCAGAATGGAACTAATTTAATTCATGTTGCATAGGAAGAAAGCTCAGAAACGACTGTGTTTCTTGAGGGAGCTTACGAGGGCCAAATTCCCGTGCCAAGTTCCTGTCAGCTTTTCCAGAGGAGCAACAGAAAGCATCCTGACTGGAAACATCACAAACTGGCATGGGATGTGCACGGCCCAGGACCGAAGGGCTCTGCAGCGGGTGATTAAAACAGCTCAGAAGATCATTGGGACCCATCTCCCCGAGCATCAGTGATATCGGTGAGGTGAGGTGCCTATGCAGAGCCCAAAGGATACTAAAGGACAGTAGCCACCCAGCCACAGCCTGTTCACCCTGCTGCATTCTGGGAGGAGATATAGAAGTTTCTGCTGCCGCACGACCAGACTGCAGAGCAGCTTTTCCCCCCAAGCTATCAGACTCTTAGGCCCAATCCCAATGTCCACCCTCACAGACTTTGAGGCACGTTCCCGGGAAGTCCGTGAGTGCTCAGGGCTGTCCCGCTGTCAAATGGTCAAGTGCGCGAGGGCTCTCTCACGGACATTTTGAGCCCTTTATAGACACTTTTCGTAAGTCCGCATTTCTGCAGACTTTGGCTGAGGGAATGGCCCACAGCTCATAGTGGTATGACGTAAAACACAGGGGTTACCCATAGACTGTATGGGGTAACCAGGGGAAGCCTGGAAGCGAGATAAATATCACGGCAAATCCGCGTATTAAGAGAAGAAGAAAACAGCAAACAAACAAGCATCGACACCAACGCTGATGTCAACATTGTTAAAAGTTTTCTTAACTTAAGATGCTGCATAGAACACATTAAGTAAGAGAAATGCAACAACCTTATGACAAGTTAAGTTTATTCAAAAATTTATGTTTGTCAAGTTTTCGCTTGATGATGCTATTTGACCCACAATAGTGTACTGATTAATTACAAATATTTATATTAATATTTATAAATATTAAACTCTTATTCATGCTCAGCAGGCTCCAGTGATGATAGTTTATTTCTGTTTACCATTTTTCATTGATTCTTTATTAATGTATATTGTCTGCTATGTAGCAGAAGGGGGGTTACAAACTCAATTTCTCTCTATAACTTGTTACATTGTGATAATAAACCTAGCTAGCTATAGTACACGTATCAACTGTTGTAAATCTGGTTGTAACGTTACTGTTTTGGTAATACAAACAGGTTACCGAACCACCTGTGCAGAAAAGATGCAGCTCCCACAGAAGCTGCATCCCCGGTGTGTGCTTGGCATTAAAAAGCGACAGGTGCAAAAAAGCCAATGATAGGGTGATGTATTAAAAATAAAACGACGGCATTCACGAAGATAGCGCGGTTTTCTCTTCCTGTTTAAAATATCTGCAGTCACCACAAGCAACCTCACAGACCCTTCCAAACCACAGTCAGCAATTCACATGAAAACAAGTTAATCCATAACACCAGCTAACGTCAGTCAGCTAAAGTTGGCTAGCTCGACCTGTGCGAAAACAAAACAAATTCAATAACAGCGTTTTAGCTGCCGCACATGGGAATGCCCCGTCTTTAATATTTAGCCTGTATTTTCAATATTTCGTTCAGTCAAAACTACAGGACTGTCTCTCACTGTTGTCCCGTATCAGTAACTAAACAAGCGTTTTTTCTTTGTGTAGCAATGGTAGCTAGCTAAGGTTAGCCCACAAGCACTGGCCTGTCTCCCCCTTGTCGCTGCATGTCAACCACCTTTACCGCGGCGGGGACACCGGCTGAAAGGCCGAGCAGACCCTCGTATGGACGCGGGCTTCACTTGCAAGATAAATAGCCGCGTTGTTTGTTTGGTATCGTGTATTGTGACTGTTTTTCTCACCCTCCATCTCTCCCTGTGATGATTCCTGCTGCTCCTCCGCCATCTTAGCCGTCGAGATCTGTTTCCTCCTTCTGCATGACCTCATTCATTACACACATCCGGGCAGAGCCACATTTGTTTGTCTTTTTAAAAACAACATCAGCATGCCTTTTCATGTTAAGGGCCCTATAAACAAGATTCGTTTGTTAGCCAAGCTATCAAACTAAAGCGGACCAACCCCCACTGTTTCATTGGATACCAGGGCTGGATTTCCACCCATGCGCCACAAGGGCCCAGACCCTATTAGGGGCCTCCAAGGTCAAACACTCACTGCCATCTTTGGCATGGTAGGTCTAATTGCTTTGTGGCAATTTGAGTAATCGCCCATTAGTTTGGCAAAAGCACAGTGTAAACTAAAGTTATAAGAGCCACGAGGTGTCTTCTCCATTATATCCATCCTGTCTCATATGGTCCTGTGTCAAAATGTGGTTGGAATAGCCTACCTTTAATTTCCTTAGTTGATGTTGTGCTTACATGGTGCTAATTTTTGAAGAAATTTATACCACAAAACTAACTGACATACCAAGGGAAGGTAGTATTCCAGCTTACCGATACACTGAAGCACCTACCGTAGAAGGAATGGGTGAGTCCACAGCTAATTTTTGCCCACAACAGATTAATCCAGCTCTGCCCAGGACACTTCAGATCTTTTAAATTAACCCCTGCAAAATTGTCAACAGGAATCTCAACAGATAATTCCCTAGAAAACCACATTGACATTAGCAAACATGTTGAAAAACATGCACATTTATTTACAACCCATCATTACAAGCTTATTCCCATACATAGCCCTCACAGTAAATTAAAATCCAGGCACGTGACCAGGAATATCATTTTCCAAAATCACAGTGGAATGCAGTCATTCATTGTGCAGTAGTGTTGCAGGCTCATCCAGGTCCCTGCACTTTCCAGCAGTACACATCAGGGGGCACTGTCTGAAACAAATACAGCCTACATTCAAACATAATACCATTCATCTGCTGCTCTTACATGTTGGTTGCCTGCAAATAATATATGGCACATTGCCTTTGCCACAAACTGTCCCAGCATACTTTTAAATCAACATTTCTATTTCAGATGGGTTTTTGCCAATTTTTTAAAATGTAATATTTACGGAAGCTAACATTACCAGTAGCGTACAGTGTAATATGTGTGTGAGGAACAAAATAATACTTCATATTTGCCAAAAAAGCAAAAGTGGTATTTTATATTTTCCCTTTGGCACTTTGCTTTTCATATCAGGGCAGTAATAGAAACCAACAACACATATAAACAAAATAAAGATAAACAACACATGCTTGGTTTTGCCACAATATTATAAGTCTGTCCCAGTTCATGTCAAATTACTCTTGAAAAGGCGTTGTCCTGTCTTGGATGTTGAAAGCAGGCAGAAAGAACTTTGCAAAGTACCAAAACATGTATTCACAAAAATAGACATATCAAATAAAAAAAGGTGTAAAATTAAAATGCATTTTACAAACATTTGGCAGCTTTTCCTGCTTTCATCCACTGTGAATGTGTGCATACATTGAGGTACACAACAAACACTTCAATTTCTTAAGTGTGTGTGTGTGTGTGTGTGTGTGTGTGTGTGTGTGTGTGTGTGTGTGTGTTTCAACATTTATCTTCGCAACTTAGCAGCAGGAGCAGGGTATAGTGATTATTTATATACTGTATGCATATGTGTGTGACCGTAGGCGTGAATGTGAGGTTGGCGAGAAAGGGGGGCATGTGTGAACTAGAAGAGAGATGTATTGCATTAATTGATATGCTAATTTCCTGTATATTATTGACAATTTGAGTTTAAGGATTCTGAGTTTGTTTATATAAAGAAAACATTTGCATATTTATACACATTTACACACCGCCTAATCACTATTATGTATGGAGTCTTGCTTTGGCTGTATGAAGTCTTTAAATATTCCAAATGCTCTCAGTGTTTAAGGCAAATGCACGAGGACAATAAGACAAAATGGAGGTATGCATGTTGCCGGTGTGGCAAGACAAGAACAAGACCTGGTTTGGATCAGATCCCATACCGTGTTGTGTAAGGGAACTTAACACAGGCACGGTTACTGATACACTGAACACCATTAAAGCAAAACCCCAACCTCATTACGGAGGTATTGCAATCTGCTTTTCTGATGTACCAACTTTCGTTCAGCCTCGTCTACTTCTCCTGCATTTCCTGATTTCCTACTGAGCATGACCATGAGTGCTTTCGACATCCCCCGCAAAAAGGTATGCCAACTGCGTCCACCTGTTCGTTACAGCTGGTTAGAGCAACAGACACTGTGTTGCGCAAGATGAGCAAGGAATATCGTCTGAGATTTAACACTGTAGTAGCTGATCTGGAAATCTTGCAACATTGTCTTTGTTTGTAACAGTAATCCGGGGGAACAACACAGATCACCAAACATGAAAATCTCCGATAGATGTTTTGGATTAGATTTTTTCTTTGCCAATAATTTGTTCTATTGCACCATGTTCCCACACAATACAGACGATGCAGCGTTGTAGTCAAGGTGCAGATTTTTCAGAACTGGTTTTCTTGTTTGTGATCATACCTTGCTGGTGTATCTGCATTTGAACCACCTCTGAGACCAGAGCTGGCCAGTCTTGAAGTTTCACATGTTATTTTCCAGCTGCTTGCTAAACTATCTGGGCCTTGTGTATCAGGGTAGTGTGGGGGCTCGGCCGGGGCTTGGGTCTGAGCGTGCCATTAGTCTGCTGATAGCGTGTATTGTGAGCCTCGGACACCTGAGAGCTGTTGGTCTCGCTGTCTTGGTCATCAGGGTGCTCCTGACTGGCAGGACCCCCCAAGCCTTCATCCACTTCATCCTCGTCATCTGTTACTGGAGGGTAGCTGCAGCTCAGAGGAGAGTGTTGGTGAATCTTGGTGACACTTCCTGTCCGGGAACCCCCGTCTGTTGGGATGATGGCGCTGCCATTTAGCTGTCTTACTAATTCAGTGGGCTGTGCCACTGGGAAGACTGCTGGCGTGAGAGGACGGTGGAAACGCGTTTCCTGCTGTGAAGACAGAGCAGACACCCTTCTTAATTGCATCATCATCAGGTAAGTATGCAGAAGTTAATAACCTGAGTGAGATGCATTCCACTTGCACAGAAATACACAAGCACAAAGACACCCTTACCAAAGACATAGTGCTGTGTACATATGACTCCACTCTGAGACGGCTTTCCTCGTCTCTATCCAGAAGCCTGTCTCTCCCTCTCCGCGAGTTGTTGTACAGGACTGGTCTGCCCAGGCTGTCAAGCGCTCCCCCTCCAACCCGCCCACCTGAGATGGTAGATCTGCTGTCACGGCAATGAGCGTGCTCCTGTCAGAGTAGAAAAAGACACTTATCGGTTTTCAGGCATACACTGATTAGGTGCAGGCACTGTAATGTGAGTTCCTTCTTATGCACTTTTCCTTAATTTAAAGTCACTTTAGTGACGGAGATGTATTTATCTAAAGCAGGACAAGTCATACAAAGAACTTTATTTAATTCTATTGAATATTTTAAATACAGCAATAGCCCAACATTTTGGGAAATAATCTTATTTACTTTCTTGTAGAGAGATATATGAGTAGATTGATCCGACTCTTTAATCTGTATGCTAAATATAAAGTGTACAGCCATGCAGCTGTTAGCTTAGTCTAGCATAAAGAGTGGGTGGGGACAGCTACCCTGGTTCTGGCATGTAGCTGTTATAGTGCCAGACTATTTCTTGGCTGAGCGCAGTAACTTCCTGGTATCGATCTTTTAACTCGCAGCAAGAAAGCAAAATAATGTAACATTATGGTTTGATAATTATCATAGGGAAATCGATGTGTTCAATTAGTGCACTTCCAATTAATTGATTTTAATTTATTGGTAACGTATCATAAGGAGTCCTTCAGTTAGTGCACAGCAGGTCAGCTGCAGGCATGCTGATTTATATATCAAAATTTTTGAAAAATAATGTTGATATAAATCAATTATATCGAACGGGTCTCAAAATTCCTCTCATGGAATGACCTCCATATCAGTCTGGTTTTTCTCGGCGCGGATCACGGACTGTCTCTCAGACATATCTGCATGGATGAAGGCTTGCCACCTTCAACTAAACCTCTCTAAGACTGAACTCTTGGTCATTCCAGCCAAGCAATCGATCCACCATAACATCAAACTACAAATTGGCTCAACAAATATCAAACTATGTTAGTTGAGAAGATTGTAAGAGGTGCTGGTCATGGATTTTGTTACTGTTGGACAGAGCGAGGCTAGCTGTTTCCCCATTTCCATCTTTATGCTTAGCTACATCGCTATTAACACAAATTTACCAAATAGCCCTCTAATGAATTCAGCGTGAATTGCAAATTTTACAAATTGCCGCAACTTTTTGGCAAATTTTGCCTATCATCGTTTGCGTTTCCCGCAAAACATTGTTGTACGTCACCAAACTCACTTCCTTGTCTCGTTTAAAGGACGCAGCAGACATGTTTGATACCAACGTCTCACATTTACCTACAAAAATAATAGCAAGGGGCCGTGAAAAACCGTATCCACATCTTCTAAATTAAAGCACAGGTAAACTGTTTTGCAAAAGGTGCAGTATTTCACTATAGATTCAGATTCAACTATAATTTTAGAGTAAACAAAATAACTTCTACTTTTGCAGTTTTCAGTTATTCCCAAAATTCTATCGCAAAATGCCAAAGAACATTGCAACTTTCAAAATTACAAAAAAAGGTCAGCTAAACCCTGGAGGGACTGGCTAACTGGCCACTGGTTTTACTGGACAAACATGAGAGTGGAACCAATCTTCTCGTCTAACTCTCGGCTAAAAGGTACAAAAGCACATTTCCCCAAATGTCAAACTATTTCTTTAATCAGCCTCAGAATGGAGATGTTTTAAGGAAAAGCCATACTCTAGAAACAAAAAGTCCCAAGCAAAATAAGCATATAAGCAGCTCAAAGTTCTTCAACAATAAAATGTGTTATTATTAAAATCTGAGATGCACTACATTCAGATTTGAAATGTTGAAGCTCAGAACTTAGCCGCCTGGCATCTGGACAATAAAGCCTCAGTCCCCGGCCCTGGCCCTGCATGCAGAGTTAGATTGA